TCATGTACCAGGCATGTGCGCAGCGCGGGTTGTTCTTGCTGGCGACAAACCGCGTAGCGACCCAGAAGTGTTGTCTGTAATCATTCAGAGGGAAAAATGGCCAATTTTCACGCTACGGTAAATAACACAGGGTCGTTACGCGGCTGCAACCAACAACAACAACAACAACAACAACAACAACAACAACAACAACAACAACAACAACAACAACAACAACAACACCAGCAGCAGCAGCAGCAGCAGCAGCAGCAGCAACAACAGCAACAGCAACAGCAACAGCCACAGCCACAGCCACAGCCACAGCAACAGCGACAGCGACAGCGACAGCACAGCAACAGCAACAGCAACAGCAACAGCAACAGCAACAGCAACAACAACAACAACAACAACAACAACAACAGCAACAGCAACAGCAACAGCAACAGCAACAGCAACAGCAACAGCAACAGCAACAACAACAACAACAACAACAACAACAACAACAACAACAACAACAACAACAACAACAACAACAACAACAACAACAACAACAACAACAACCTACAATCAACAATCAACAATCAACAACCAGCAACAAACAACAAACAACAATAACTATATTATAGAAGCACTCGAAAACAAATGACAATACTATCAACAACCAACGTCAGTAAGCAATGGTAAGCAAAAACAAGTAACAACTAGTGAAGGGGATCGTACTATACCACCTCCAAAGATTCTACTGGGAAAGGGCAACGTCACAGCCACATGTGCGCCCACCTTCACACCTGCACCAGCAACTCTAAGCGCTAGCCACCACTGCTGAGTAACCGTGCTTGAACACCAGGATGTGCGTGACAGCCTGCCGAAGTGCCCCCTTTTCCCCATTTGCTCAGGCACTTTGCTGTGGGCGTGGAATGGTTGCTTGACCTGCATGTTGAGAATCCGAATCGCCCATGCAGTACTCAACATGGCAGAGATCTGACCAAAAGTGAAATCCGAAGCCGAACGAGTTCCTCAAGCTTTACGAGGCTGTAGGACACATGACCTTGCCCAAAGTTCAGGCACAGCATCTTTGCAATTTTCCACCAGTGCTGAAGTAGCCATTCTGGCGCGCCTTGTGCTTGGGCTTGATCGCCTGGTAGAAGAGCTGGGAGCCATCCTAAAAAAGCCGCAGCCAATGAGACTAGCCGACCTGGTGTTTTCCCTGCGCCCTCTCAAAGGCCGACCACTCAGCAGTGCCACATTTGATGAGTCGTGCTTGAATCGCCGACTGGGACATCTGCGTTTGTGTGTTTCCCGGATTCCTCTTGGCGCCGACTAGATCTATACAGCCGGACTTGGTTTTTGCCACCGGTCCCTTGCAACCATAGCCCGCTGCTTCAGTTGAGCCCCGTCCTTGATCCTTACCAGGCGCCGCTGGATCTCAAGCTCGTCGTCGTTGAGGGCCTGGCTTTGGGAGCACGTTGCCGTGAGAGCGTCATTGTGGCAGCAGAAATGGGGATCATGGGGCACAGTACATAGGGACAAATTCACCAGGGTTCGTCCACTGTTGCCTGGAAGCCTTGTTTGCTTTTTGCCGGGGCATGCCCGAAGCCGCACTGTTGCAACCTTCCAAGTCATGGCTGCCCCAGCCTGTTCAGAGCAACAAGTTCTATAAGTCATGCATATACTCATGTAGCCATGACATGGTAAAGTCACATAGCTACCACTGGTTGCAGGTCTGCGGTGCTGCTCCTCACCTTTTCAGCCTGACCGGCATCGAGGTCCAGGGCTAAGTCGCCCCCCGCGAAGGCCCGTTCTTCGGGCCGCGGGCCGCGCGAATTTCGCGCCGCGTCAGTCGAAGATCACCGAGGACATGACCCGCCAGCGGCAGGGCAGGAGCTTCGCCTGCGCCCTGGCGGCCGCTTCGTCCTGGTGGTCGCAGAGGACCACTGCGCCTCGGAGGACCTGAAGCGGTGAACACCAGACGCCGACTCCAAATTTGTGCTTTCACCTGCTGATGTGGCCGGGGGTCAAAACCCCGGTTAGCCCCCGGTGAACATCCCAACCCCCACCAAAATAGGTTCTAAAATTTGTGCACCGAGCCCAAAATGGTACCATTGGTTTTGAACCATGGCCTTGTTTCACCTGCATTGCTTGCACCTCCGAGGGCGTTCCCGAACTATACCATTTGTTGCTTCCCCACCCTGCCACAAAAAAAAGAAAAGCATGCCTGGTATGTCCCGCCCGCCGCGCGCCTGCTGCACCACGCTGGCCGAGCCGAGACGCCGCCAGTGGGCCAAAAGCACGATGCCTTCCAAGCTGTTCGAGTCCTCCCGTGCGGCAGCCCAAGAGGTCAGTGGGTTTTCGCCCAGTAGCACCTGGAGTAAGAGGCATGTGCCGTGTGCCCACCCCCCCCCCCAAAAAAAAAGGAAAAAGATGAAGAAACAAAACATGGGCATGTGCTAGGACTAGCCTTCACGCAAACTCTGAAGTCAGGACTGTGTTGCATGCCAGACGTGATGTGTTTGCACTACACAAACAAACATGCATGCCGGTGATTTCAGCCCAAGCTTGCCCAAAAACTGATGTCATCTGACATGAATCTGGCATGCCGGCCTTGTAGCCCACACAGCGTAAGGCATCAGCAAATCGCTGGCCCATACGGCTCTGAAAGCAGTCGCTTACCAAAGCCAAGGCAGATGGAGGTGGAGATAAGGATGCGGCACCTTCAGCCAGCTCCAACAGGATCGGGTCTGCAAAGACGTCCAACTTGCCTTGGCTTCAGATCCAAGCTTCACAGTACTCGGCCAGGACAAGGTCTGTCTAACATGTCTGCTTGGCTCCCTGCACCTTGACCCAATTCACAAAGGCTCGCTTGGCAGCGGCTTTGGCCCATGTTGCAAGGCATCTGCCCAAGAGGGTTTCATGTACATGCCTACCTTTCGGACCCTTGCGGGCGTGACGCCCCAATGCCAAAGTGGCCAAGCCGTCACTAGGGACCAACCCCCCCAACTCCGTTTGCAGTGGGACTAGTCTGAGCTCGCTAGAGACAAGGCAGTCAACCAAACGCCAACCATTACACATGCAGTCAGCATAACATATTCTAATTGCCTTGATCTGTATATGTGGCTTGCTTTTATACCTCCCGTGTACATGATCTCCGGTTGGGTTGCGAGAAAGCTTGCGCCACGTGGTGCCGTGTTGAAGGACGGTCAAGCTTGGCAGCGTCTGCTTCTTGCGCTTCTCAGGTTCCTCCCTTGAGACAACTGTCACTGCCTCCTCTTCATCCGCCAGCGCAGCCGGCGCGGCCAAAACGGCGGCCGTCCCCTCCTCGCTATTGGGCCGCGTGGAGTCGTCAAGCAGCGCCGGAGTCTCCATCTTGGGGTTGAAGCCACCAGCGCTTGGCCGAAATCGTCTGGATCTGAACCCTCTGGAGGCCGGTTTTGCCACTTCTTGTGGCGTCTCTTTCACCTCGCAGGAGCTGGCACTAAAAGTTTGTCCCAAGGCGGATGAACCCACCTCCTCTCAACAGAACAAAGAGGACCTCATGTGTTGCGACTCATTTTGTATGTCAACGCCATGGCCATTTCTTCTCATGGCACCCGAGTTTCACCGCGCCCCCGTCCTCGTGGTGCCTGGGCACCGGCAGCTCTGGTGCAAGGCAGTGCTGCAGGGCCTGGGTCCGGGCCTGGATCTTTGGCGCCTGCAGGGCGCAACAAACCACCCCTTCACACCCTTCGGACCGCCCCTTGGCTTTTTCTTTCCAATCCCTGGCCCTTTGTGCACAGCATGCCCTCAGTGCCCACATGCCGAACCCTGGTAGAAGGGTTTCGGGCGCAAAAAGGGCAGGACGGTTTCGGTCAGAGTGCCGGGAGCCGGGCGCCTGCTCCGGCAGCAGGTCGCAGGGCTCCGACACCCAGCGGCCCTCCCAAGTCTTCGGCACAACTTTCGGCTCGTAGGGCCCCACCCACGCCGGCCGCGCCGGCCTGGGTGCCCCACATCGGGCCAAACCTACAGAAGGAATCGCCTGGACACAACTCGGCTCATTGAGCACATGGCCAACACGGGGATGATCAAAAGCTCCTCGACATGGGAAACCCATGAGAAAAGCGCACGAACAGGCATGAGGTCTCCCAAGTAAGACCTAGTTACCCATGGCAATTGTTGGGGCCCTAAATGGAATATGGATCAACCCCCACATACAACACCCCAGTAGCCATGAGAGTGTGGTCTCAGGGGATGTGAGGCGCTCCAAGGATCCAAGGCTCGGGCGTGCAGCCCTCCACGCAAAAGCGAATCCGCTGCCTCGACGCCTCGAGTGGCAGCAGCACCTGGCGTTTTGCTTTTCGCTTTTTGCGCGCGAAAGGTGGGCTTTTCTTGGGGAAACCCCTCATGATTTGGTGTGGTTGTCCTTTTGGCCTTTGGTTCCCCTTTAAAAAACCAACCGAAGGGGTACCTCTCCCCCTTGAAACACACAAACAAAAAGGATACCCTCCCACCAGTTCACACGGAACCTGGAGTTCGGGACCCGGCCCCTTTGAAAGGAAGGAGGAAAGAAAGGGGATGAAGGTTAAAAGGAAAACCGCACAAAAACGAGGTACAGTCCAAAAAAGGGACACCCCCCTAATATGCGAGAGAGCACTCGCCAGCTGACGCGACACCCCCGCGCCTCCGATGCCTTCGGGCACTCCCCGCCCACGCAGAGCGCTGAGCCCCCGAAGCGACCAGTGTCCTGAGCTTTGCATCCCTTGGCAGCACGCAGGCCACCCTTGGCTTCCACTTGCCTTTTCGCCCCCTAAAATGAAAAAAAACACATGTCCACTAGTGATACAGTAGATCCCCTTAAAAACCACCAAGGGAACATTAAACAAAACAAACACTTAAGCAAGTGGAAGCAAGACAAACATCGCGCAGCTCTTCTCTGATTACTGGGCAAAGCAAAGCAAACATGGCCGACATTAGCATCCCCCCCTCCACTCAACATTGAAGAGCCTGAAGCAGAGCGTAGGTGGCCGAGCGTCCATCACCTTACCATGGATGGGCATCTTCACCGCTTGCCAGGGCGGAAGGAAGATGGCCATGGGCTGCTGCGGATAGTTCCTGACACCAAAAGGGAGAAAAGCGGACGGCCAGTGCCACTTTGAACGCTGCAAGGCTTCCATTTGCTTAAGCCCCCTGGAAAACGATATGTCCAGTAGTGATGGATTCCTTTTAAAACCAACAGGGGAAAATGAAAACTATTCCCAAACAAATGGAAGAAGAGCATTCTGCAGGCTCTCTCTCTCTCGTGCAATTTGCATCGCTACGGATCCAGTGTCGCTTTTTTCCGGGGCCCTACGAGCAGTCCACAATGCACATCAGCTGCAGGTGATGCAGTAGTGGTCCACCCTGTTTGTCGCAGCAACTGGAAGGCAACAAACCGCTCACGCGCTGATGACAACAGAGTTGTTGCAGCAAACAGGGTCAGCTTCTGGCAAGCCAGCAACTGCAACTCGGCATGACGTAACGGGGCAAAGCATGTGTAGAATCTCATCACTCGCCGTTTGGTTTGTTCTCTTGAGAGGCCCCGTTTAGAGCAACATTGACATCGTGTCTCCCTCCAGTTTGCCCTTGCGAACAAGCCGAAAGCGGGTGGACACCTCCCAACAAGGGCCACCCCCATACGGATATGAATCTCGGTTCCAACTCTTCAAGCTCATAGGGCATTCCCCTTCGGGTGTTTTTCTTGAGGGAACGTCCCCCTTTTTCGGGTGGTTTTAGAGGCACTCCTATAGGAAAACCGCAGCCAGTTTTGGGCATAGTGTCCTTTTAAGCGCAACATATTTTTCTGGAAGATGATGAACCCTACCTCTGGTTTTGGGAGGGTCACCCATATGTGTAAATATATACATATATATATATAACCCCCCCCACCCCACCAAGAAAAAAAAAACGGCCGCCACCCCTTCGAATGGCTCCCCGGGCCTGGGGCGCAGCACCTTGGCCGAGCGCCACTCATCGCCCTCCACGCTCTGCAGCCCCGCAGCCAGCGCCGTGCTGCCGCAGGTGCCCACGGTGAAGAGACCTCAACGACGACTTGGGCTTCTCAAAGCCCAAGCCCAGACGACTGGTTGGTTGGTTGGTTGGTTGGTTGGTTGGTTGCTCAGGCCTCTCACCCAAACAATCCCTGCAGGTGATACTTGGCTCACCCAAACAATCCCTGGTGATACTTGTATACTTTTCGGGGTATCCCTTTGGTGGCGGACCTCCTGGAGCAAGTCCACCCGGACCCGGAGCCCGGGCAAGATAGATATTTTTGGGTAGCCGACGTCGAAAAATGCCCTTGGAGCCAAGCTCACCAGAAGTCCCATGATCAGACTGCTTTGAGCAAGGGTTGGAAAAAACTTGCTGGCGCTCAGCAGGGAATGAGAAATGGAATGACCTCAAGAAGAACCATCCAACTGGTGGTTTCTCAAGGGCTGAGTGAAACCTTTAATGCCTAATTTCCCATAAGCCATAACTAACGGGCTGGAGGAGGGGTTCTCAAAATTATAATCCAAATAATCCACATTGTTGCAGGACATGTATACCCAAATCCATAATCCATGTCCTACAAATGTGGAACCCACCTTGGAGTGACATGCGTGTATAGATCTTTCACATGGATTGTCTGGGTTAAAATGGTTGGTTTCCTGCTGGCCTCCCTTTACTTACGGACCCGATGTTTGCCGGACGGCTTCCTTTTTCTCAAACGATTGATTTCCCGGCTGTTTCCCTGAAGCTGGTTTCCTGCTGCCCTCCCTTTATATAGGCCCCATTAGAGTCAGAAGGGTCCAGCAGATTGACAGCAGGGTGAGCCGGCATGAAGGCCTGTTAGGCGAGGACACATGTTGCCGGGAAGTAGGTTTACCAGGCGGCCATGCTGACTTACAGCGGCCGTGATAGCATCCACGGTTCCAGACCAAAGTGCAAGGCGAATCGTTAAAGCCACTGACACAAGTAATGGTCAAATAAAGAACCCTCCCTCCCTTCCAAAAAGAAAAAGTGGTATGGCATAACAGCAAATATAACAGAGCAACTGGGAACAAAACTGCCAAAAGCTCATGTAGACGCTTGAAATCAAAACATGCAATGTGAGACAGCCAATCCACCCAAAATGCCCCACTGCATGAGCAATCCTAGGGACACGTGTCGCCGACCCGTGGTCGTCCGCGCCATGTTTTGTCATTTGCACAAAAAATCACACCCCGTCCAACCCTCCCAAAGCCAAGCCCCCTTCACGACTCAAAAAGTGCCGTTCAAGGCGCCCAATGGAAGAGCCACCGGCTTGCTGGAGCGATTCTCCAGCTCTAAGTGCAGCTCCACCGTGGTCAAAGAGAAGCCCCGCAGCGAAATCCGCAACGGAAGCTCCATGGCGTGAGCGAGGCTCGGGCGCCCTATGGCCCCCAAAGCCGTGTCTTCAACGGTTTCGAGTGGAAGCCAAGGTGGAGCCACATAGTCCAAGGGAGGGTGCAGTTACAAACAGGCAGCCAACTCGTGCCAGTTCATGTTCCCTTTTCAAGCATATATTACATATGCAGTTGTGCGCAGCTCGTGTGCATCGGTTTAGCATGCTGATGCTAAATAGCTTGAAACTTACCAACGCTTAGGAGTACCCCATGCTGGTTAAACGGAGGCTCTTGCAATAGACACGGATACCAACAACAAAAGCACTGAAATGCCGAGCGCGCGGATTGAGCCGAAGAGGTAAGCCAAGCAGGTTTTGCTATCAGTGCCACGCGATTGGCTGAGTTATGAGATGCGCGTGAGCAAGCATTTGTTTAAGCAATCCATCATGGAGCATTCCATTCAGGGCTGACCTGGAGCAATATTTGTTTGCACACAGGCGAAATTGGCCAGCGAGGCTGGAATTGGCACCGTTCCCATAAGTACTAAGTGCAAAAGAGTCTAAAACTCGTGAATGTCTGCCTGGTGGTTCAAGCGATTTCTGAACCCCCGAAACCCAGCCCGGAAGACGACAAGCCAAAGCAGTCTGTCCAGAACAGCATTGCACCAGGCCGCTAAAAAGAAAAGCGGCTCCACTAAACCTGACCAGCCGGGGGGGGGGTCGCTGAAGACAGCTCCTGACGGATCTGATTTAGGGAGCTGAATTAAGGAATCGTCGAGAAAAATGTCTTTGCCACGGCAAGCAAAAAACTCGGGTGGGCAAAATCCTGCAGCACCTAAGAAGCCCTGGTTTCAAATGATCCCTCGTGAATGCCAACAAAACATGGTTCCTATGGTTTCAAAGTGGTGCGAACGGATTTCGTCCATGCGGCCCTCGCTCTCCCGCACCTGTTCCGCTCCGGGGCTCAGCGGCCGCTCCAGCGGGAAAAGCGCCCGCCGCTGCTCGCCGGTGAGGATGTGCGCGATGCCTCACGCGCGAAGCAAAATCAAAACGCGGCTTCGCTCACGTAGTAAAAGGGGCGAAATGGCTGTGGGTCGAGATTACGTACCATTGCGGGATAGGTGCACCACCCATTCTAGTCTATTTTAGTGATGTTTATTGGGGGTATGAGATTTGACCCACGGCCAAATCTTGGACACACCTTATTGGTATCGTAATATGTAGCGGCGTGGTGCAAGCCTGGTATTAAAACCTCCCCCCCTCCCCTCCCACTCTTAATTGTTCCACCCCCTTCTAGAATGCCTGGCCTTTCCAGGCACCCAGCTCTCATCTGTACTTCAGGTTCGGACAAGCGGCTCAGCACGCATACGCTTGAATTTGGTTTGGTTTGGTTTAATTTTGCCTTCCTTTGCCTTGTGTGTGTCTCTGTCTGTCTGTCTGCCTGCCTGGCTGGCTGCTGGCTGGCTGGCTGCAAGGCTACATGTAAGTGCGTCGGTCGTCAAGCCAAGAGAACATATCATTCAGGAGCACTCATAGTGTCCTTCAATCTCAGCGCCTAACAAACTCGGGGGCCCTTCCTTCCCCAGCCCGCTTGCCCGCTTGCCCGCTTGGCGCGCGACGCCGCGTGAGCACATAGCGGAGTCCAAACAGCCCACCTGCGCAGCCTTGGCTGTCTCATGGCACTGGGCGAGGCAAAAGTACAGTCACCATATCTGGGCTGCCCTCAGATCCCCCGCTAAAAGTTTGACTTTCAGTGGGCTAAATGGAAACTACCACAAAACACTAAAAAGCTAAAAGGGTAAGGGGATGGCTGGGAGCCGCCAAGACATGCCAGACCCAAAACATGTCTGTTTGCGAAGAGAAGTGGCTGGTCCCCATAGCCCGAAATAGGGGCGAGAAAGCCTGCGACACGGAGGGATGGCTCTTCGGAATCCCCAAGAAAAAGCTGATTTTTGCCCCTTAGGAAGACCCAGGAAGCTTGAAGAGCACACGACACCTGTACTGCAAGCTCGGTAAGGCAAGCAGCCGGGACCCAAGACATGACATCTGGTCGAAACCTGAAAACCAGGTCTATCTAATGGCCTCCCGAAGCATCGCATGTTGACCCGATCTATATACATGACGTTGATGCCGCCCCGAGCGCAAACCAAACAGCTATGCTATCGGTCAGACGGCTACACAACATGACCTACCCATGATATAGAGTCGCTGACTGCTTTGGGGCTTACAAGCACTCCCACCTTGTTCTGTTGCCGCCTCAGCACCCCATCGGAATAGAATGCATGCCCTGACAAGATGGACAAACTACATCAAAATCCCACGAAAGCTCACGCCCCATCCTTTGCAGCTGCGCATCCCACTAATCCAGCAGCTACCCACTCCATGGCGCAACAGAGGCCCGTCTGCTGACAAAGCTTGGCCTGTCACTGTCCAATTGCCCCCGCTGCTTTGGCACGCTTCCATTCTGCATGTGGCACTGAGTGGTTGCAAGCTGGGTCTTTGCATCTCTGGAGCCGAACGGCCCAATGGCAGGCCGATGTCTTTAAGCGGCTGAGCCTGAACATGCAGCTGAAATATCCCTAACCCATGCCATTGCGGGATCTCTGCTCATGGATGTCATTGGCAAACACGTCTTCCAAGGCTGGAACTGCGAAGCAATCTGCTTTCTCAGGCATTGATTGGACAGGCCAGGGAATGCATGACTTTTGGATTCCCAGGCCGCTTCATGTCACCAGTGGCCAGCTGACAGTCGTGCCTTCCGTCAACAGCTGCAGGCACGCTGCGCCACTCTCCGCATTGTAACATAAGCCAAAAAGGTGATCCTGCTATTAAGTTCAACTGAGAAACAACGAGCCAAGTCCAAATGGACATGAGTTCAATGCCTTTGCAGCACCACATCTGAGGATGCCAAAGGGGCCCAAGTTCCGGACGGCCAAAGGGCGGGCGCACCGTGTCTCCCATGCCCACCATCGATCGCCAAGGGTCTTTGGAGTAGTCCCGGGAGTTGGCGTTGGCCTTCGCCTGGCGACCACAAAGCCCCGGTGCAGAGCCTGGTGGCTAGGATAGGGCCAATCGGCTTCGTACAATTACGTGGGCTCTCTACCAAAGCAAAGCACTTTTTCAGGGGCAAACAAGAATCACATTTGGCGTGTAGAAGCAAACCGCCAAACACACGAAGAATACCCAAATGCCGAGTCCAACCCCACACCTCCGACTCCACCGCCCGCAAACCTACCCCCCCCCCGCGCACGACCGCCGCACCCTTCCTGGACCAGCTCCCGCGTCTTGTTGTCCAGTTCCATGCGCAAGGCCTGGCGATCCTGCCGGGTCACGCAGAACTCCATGGCTTTGTGATCGGATCGGGCCTCCTTATCGGCCCGATAAAGGGGCAGTAGGTGATACCCTTCCAATGGAAAGTCAGACGGTGACTGACACGGCATATGAACTGAAAGTATGTTGCACCGAACTTTTGCAGTATGCCTCCCAAACGAAATTTCTACTTAAGATTCACCCAGTCACATCACCACATACCTACTGCGCACGGCAACTCAAGCTCGAAGCTTCACTGGGAGAACGCTGCGTAACCAAAGCCTAAACCAGCCAGCCGTAACCTTTTTGCTTGCCAACGATCATGCACGATTGGATCTCATCCAGCCATAAGGCTTCGCTAACCCCTCCTGCTCTGCCTGCACCCAAGCCGGCTGCATGTTGTTGCGGATGGAGGCCAAAGCTTTACCTTAACAAAACTCAAGCTGACTCAAACCGCCAACATGCTGAATTATAAGGGACGTGAGCGAGGGCAGACGGAAAGCCGGCACCTTTTTGCCAGAATTGCCAACGCTGTGTTTTAAGCAGCCTGCTTTGAATCTACCTAAGCAAACGAGCAAAGGGAAAGCATGAGTCCTGGCAAGATGTAACGGGTGGTTTCAAACCAGACGGAGAAGACAAAGACGCCGAAATTCCCCAGTCCAAACAAACGATAACCTGTGCATCCCCTCCTGAACCACCCCTTCTCAAGCGGCGGGTTGGTTTTGGCTCCTAAGAAAATAATCAACCAGAAAGAAGTCCCCCCCCCCCCACATGCAAAGCTCATCTTCAAGGGGGCCCTTGAAATCTGCACTGTAGTGCCCAAGCGCTGGACACGTAATATGATATAGCACCCTATGCCTTCCCAACACCTTCTGTTCAAAACTCAACACAAAAAAAAAAGAATGCATGCATTAAATGAACAGTGAGGCCACGTCTTCTTTTCTTTTCCGAGAAGCTTTCACAGAGAGAGAGAGAGAGAGAGAGAGAGAGAGAGAGAGAGAGAGAGAGAGAGAGCGAGAGCAGCGAGAGCGAGAGCGAGAGCGTGAGCGAGAGCGAGAGCGAGAGCGAGAGAGAGAGCGAGAGCGAGAGCGAGAGCGAGAGCGAGAGCGAGAGCGAGAGCGAGAGCGAGAGCGAGAGAGAGAGAGAGAGAGAGAGAGAGAGAGAGAGAGCAAGAGAGAGAGAGAGAGAGAGAGCCTCTCCAGGAACACGATCCGTTCGACAAAGCCGTTTCCCGCCCCAGTCTCAGTTTCTTTGATTTCAAATTGACCAGTGCTTCCCGCAATGCTCCCACATTCTTATCCAGACCCTTTTGGCAGTTTCCCTCTGTGGCGAACGCTGCAAGAATTCTAAAACCCTGAACTAAGAATCTAAGACTCGGATCTCCAGGTAGAGGACCTACATTGTATACCTTTCACTCGTCACAAAATCCAAACCAAATCCGTGGACTTGGTTCTGAAATGGGCGCCCAAGGCACTCAACGCCAGGTTGGGGAAGAGCAGCAGGGAGAGCAAGGGCTGCCCCGTGGCGGGAGACTTCGGCTTGCTCCCTGGCTGGGTCTGCTGGAACCAGTCCTGGCGAGGCCGAGGTCTGCATGGCCCCCCGAGGGGCCCTAATGTTGACCCAGGATCTAAGTAGAACCCGTCCCACTATTAGGGGGGTGTTCCCTCCAAAGCGACCAACCCCTATTAGTCAGCCAGGGGTTTATTCATCCGGGGGT